GGCTGGTGGACCTTTCCTACAAAGAGAAAACCGGGGCTGCAAATCTGAAATCAGCCCCCCTCCCCGGCCTAGTAACCTGGCAGGCCTAGTAACCTGTCTTAACTTTGTGCTGCCCTGCTTCAGAACAGACTCTTTCAAGGAGAGACTGAACCCAAAGAAAGGCTCCCACCGGCCCAGTTAGTTCTTAACCAGTCTTCTCCTGTCCCATCATATTGCAGGATGTGTCTTCAGACCCCATGAAGAAGATCAGGAGACAATAACAGATTTAATCATTGGGACTTGGAAGAAAAGCAAGTAAGCTTACCTTCTCCTACGCACCCACCCCCCTCATTCCCCACGTGGTACCGTCCCTATCCACCCATGCTTCCTTGTTACTTGGCTTCTTCCAATTTCTTCCCCTTTAGTACCTTTTGCCTTAGTTTTCCCTAAGAAACATCCCAAGAACTGGGAATAACTGGGAATATCGATTGCTAATAAAAGGAGAGGAAGTCTTTCTCCTAAGAAGGATGATGGCAAATGATTCTATGGTTGCCCAGTTCTTGGTAGCCTTAGGAGCCACGGAGGAGTCGGGCCCTTCTAAGTGCCCTCCCCACCATCAAGCTATTCCCTGGGCTAAGAAAGTGCTGGTCTCCCCCTCTTTCTCCTACAAGTGGGTACTTCCTGATCTGTAACTCCAGCGCGCCGCCCCCCCTCCCAGAAAGTTGGTATCGCCCCGCTTCTCCTTACCGCGCGAGGCGGAGAGGATCATGTCTGGGAACTGCGGGGTGGTTGCGATCTGGGTCACCCAGCCGTTATGGCCCTTAAGGGTGCCGCGGAGGGTCATCTGCTCCGTCATGGCGGCGGCTGAGTGGGCTCGAGCTCCCGCGGCAGACGGAGGATGGCGGCGGATTCAGCGGCGGCTCTCGGCCCGGACCTGCCACCTCGCTCAGGCCCAGAGAGAGAAAGGAAGCGGCGGCTTTTTCCGGAAGCGGAAATAGCCTCGCCTGGTGAAGGGAGGTTCCGGTGCCGTACAGCAAGATGGCTGCCCCTACATTATCCGTATGAGGGAAAAGAGGAGCGGCTCACGCAGGTGCACCCTCAAAAAAACAAAACCATAGTATGGAATGAAACTGCAATTTACAGTTTGGGAAGGTTTTGTGGTTACACAGTTGCAAACGCGACGACATGCTTCGGGGATGAGGCCAGAGTGACTGCTTATTGGTTCCTCCCTTCTCTTAGACCTCAACATGGCGGCACCCCGGGCGGGACATCTTACGTCGCCGTTTTCCGTAACGAGGCGTCTCTGCCTCTGGTGCGAACATCGTCCCTTCCTAGCAAAAGGCAGGGCGTGCACTGGGGGGACTGGGGGGTGAATAGAGGTCAAATTTATGTGGATCTCCCAACTTTAATGAAAAGCTCCGTTGGTGCCCTTTGCTCGAGAGCCTGCCTTTTCCCCATATGGTTGGTTGGTACGGGACGGAGGAGTGTGTGTGGGGGGGCAGTTACTTCTTTTCGATTTCACTATCTTTAGGGGTTTGGGTTTGCAAAATGTAGCAATTCATGGCACGTGGGAAGGGATAGCCAGGAGATTCTCGAGGTAGTTAAGCTGACATGTATTGCACACTGGACAATTAGAAGTTAAGTCCCACCGATTCCAACAAGACTAATCAGTGTGGTTTCTGGATTGCAGTCTCAGACAAACCATCTATTGAGACCGTTCTGTAGAAGTCTTTAAAAATTAATTTATAATTTTACAGGACTGCGATTTCTGTAATACTAGCACCTGGCAATGGAATTCTTGCTCCAGAAAGATTTGTTTGGGCAGGCTTTTAACAATAAGTATCTTTGTTTATGTACTGTATTTGCGAAGGCTTTCACGGCCGGGATCTAATGATTGTTGTGGGTTTTTCGGGCTCTTTGGCTGTGTTCTGAAGGTTGTTCTTCCTAACGTTTCGCCAGTCTCTGTGGCCATGGGCATCTTCAGACTGGCGAAACATTAGGAAGAACAACCTTCAGAACACGGCCAAAGGGCCCGAAAAACCCACAACAACCACCCTTGTTTTAGATCAGGGGTGAGCAATTATTTTTTATAGGGAGCCACATGAGAAATCTGAACTGTGTTCGGGGGCCGAACCAACTTTACTTAAAAATAAAATGAAACGGTGATGTTATGATTGTTTTTATTTTAAACTTGTTAATCTTCACAAATACTAAAGAGTTTTTTTGTGGTATGTTAAAGATAAGCAACTGATCAACTTTAAACAAAAAGCTATAAATGGTTTTGATGTTCAACTTGTTCAGTGAGAGAAATCCAGTATGTCTTGGGCTTGAACATGTCCAGCGATGACCGGTGGGCTGGACATGAGCGGCTCACGTGCCGTTATGTGGCCCTCGGGCCGCACTTAGCCTAGGTCTGTTTTAGATGCTGGTGCTACAGTGATTAGGTTTTACTCAAATTTTTAATCCTTTTGCATTGGTTAGATTTTTCTCATTATACCTTTTTGTTATTTTGTTCTTTTTATGTCTGGAAGCCTCCTAGTAAACTTGATCAGTTAAAAGATTACCGGTATATAGAAAACAAATCTGGTAGGTGTGTGCATGCGTGATGAACACTATCATCACTTAATACATACATACATACATACATACA